CCCACAGACGGCGCCAAATGTTTCGGGGTTTTCTGATGTCCTGCGGGAGAGTTACAATTCCGAGACTGGAACCGGACGCCTGTACCTGCAAAACAAACGGATGCTCCGGATGATTGGAGATCCGCCTCCGACGGTCAAGTTAGTACTTGATTAAGGAGTAATTAATGCGGAAATTAAAGTGATTGGGTCTCTCTAGGTGAGAGTGTTTAATGTGTGTAATCTGCTTTTTAGCGTGTAATCTCCCTTAATGAGGATTAAGGGAGGTATTTATAACCTCGGGAAACGTGTCAATCTAGGTTTAGGTTAACCTTGGGCTGATTGGGCTTCCCTCGGAAGTTGGGCCTAGGTGACCGGTTATCCCAGGTGTCATGGGAAGGACACGTGTCGTGTCGTAATTGGTCCATAGTGGACGGATCATTGCTTGACACGTGGCAGGCTCCTATTGGCCCATGTGACGGACACATGGCGGAACCTGATTGGTCCACTTGTCAGATGGTGATTGGTGGGGAAAAAATCCCCTAATCAATAATAATAATAATTTTTCCAGATTTTACCTTAACAATACTTAACAACCTTATCTTAATTATTATCTCATGAATTATAACGAATCTTAGTTTTGATATTATCTATATTTTATAACTTGATTTAATCATCAAATTCAATTATTATATTTATTATTTATGATTTTCGTTTTTTTATTTAAAAAAAGAAAAAAAAATGGCCGTGACTTTGAGGCCTAGTTGTTTTTATCATGGCTTAGCTTTATCTTAACTTTAAACATTTATCTTAATTTCATCTACCTTCCTTACCCAAATTAGCATCTATCTTAATTCCATCTCTAATCTTTTCCATTGAATTTTTTTTACATGAATTAACCTAGACTAAATTTCACTCATATTCATTTAACAAACTTACATTTATCATGTTCCCATGTTAATCTCAATCCTCCTTTAACTCTATCTTACTACCCCTTAAACACTATAAATAGACCCTCAACACTTCACAAATTCCTCACACCAAAAATCAGAAATCCTCTTCTCTACTCTCTATCTCATCACCCCTTCTTCTTACTCTATCTAGCTTAAATAAACTCTGCAACCCATAACCAAGTTGTTGCCACCGAACAACTACCTCTTCCGCCACCAACGACCACCCAACTATACTAATAGCACTATTTTGATAAAGGTTAATATTTAGGTAGTTCATGCACAATAGAATGGTGTTTTTGGTTTTGTGTTATTTTGTTAACCTTATATTAATTAAGGTTATTTTATTTGTGTAGGAGGAATCTCTCGATCGGGTCAAGTTTAGTAGTCGTACCTTTTTGTTCTCGTGATCAAGGTACGTATAGGTGGCTAGGTCCTTGATACAATTTTTGAATGCGTGTTTTGTATAATGTTTGTTTTAATGATTGTTTGAATAAATATTGCGTATGAATATTTAAGTTAACAATTTTCATGACAAGCTAAAGTATATAATTTTATGATTTGAAGGTTTGATCTCTAAATGTTGATCGATTTAATAAACGTTGTTTGATTTATAAATCACTTGGTTTAATTAATTTGTAGCTCATTGTGAGCTTGAGTATTTGATATTTAAATTGTCCCTCTACCCGAGACTGGTTAAGTAAGACCATGAGCTTTGTATGATCTGGTCTTTCCTCGAGTATAGTATAACTTGCTTGGGGGGTGTGCACACTTAGGTGAGGAAAATTGGTTTAGAAATATATCAAAAATTGAGAAGTTTATAAATTGGAATCTATTGGTTTGGAAAGCTTTTATTGATGGATATTACTACCCTTGGAAGGTTTAATTATTTTTGGAAGGTTTAATTTTGGAAAATGACTCGTGACATGTTTAAATTTAAATGGTTATTTCGAAAGCATGTTTGCCTAATAAAAAGTATTTACATGCCTTACACTTATACGTACTTAGCGTTTTTGCTAATCTGTTTTCCTTTCTGTTTTGGTTCGCCCTGTTTACCATTTTGGTAAGCAGTCTTGATTTCAGGTGTGAAGTTGTTCGTACGCATACTAGAGTCGGGATTGGGATCACATAGATAGGAATTAATTTTATTTATGTATGGACAAGTTTTTATTGGTTTATTTTGAAACAATTATTATGGTTATTCATATTATTAATAAAAGTTAGTTATTTTTCCGCTGCAATTTGAGTAATTAATTAAGCCTTACGTTTTCACGTGGCGGTAATACGCCCAAGTCTATCTCTACGGTATTTGTATACGTATAAATATAGTATTTACGTAGCGGGAAATTTGAGGGTGTTACAAAAGTTGCACATAAAAATTAACAGAGGTAGTATATATGAAGTAGAAGTAAGACCTTACCATGACGTAGCATTCACAAGGTTTATACTACCATACAAGTTGAGGACTTTACACTTACTTTAGTAGAGTTTATTCTACGTAGTAAAATGTTTATAACAACAATATACCTGCAATTGAAATATATATGAAGTAGAAGTAAGACCTTACAAGGATGTAGCATTCACAAGGTTTATAGAAAACGAGTAAGTTTGACATATAATACATTAATCCGTGGTTTATACACACGGGTGTATAGTGCTCATCGTACACCCGGATAAATAAAAAAAAGGCGGAAAGAACATCCTGTGTTTCATAAAGAACATACATGTATTTGACAAAGAACATGTTTGTATTTGACAAAAACATGCATTACCAAAGAACATAAAGATATAATAAAAAGAACGAGATAAAAACTTGATAAAATTTTCTGAAAAATTACACATTATTAACGGGAAAAATTTAGAGGTGATAAAAAATCGAGTAGGGCCGGGCCATATCATAATTTCTTGTGCCCAAACCCGTAGAAAAGTAGCGGGTTTTCGGGATTTTTTCGAACCCGGTTCGAGTTTTAACTAAAAATGTATTTTTAGGTTTGCCCAAACCCACCCTATTTCGGGCCGAATCGGGTCGGGATGCGAGTCATGCCAATGTTGATCACCTCTTAAAAAATCCTTACCAAAGAAATCATTTCCCCAAAAAATAGTTTTCTATCTCTCCAAAAAAAATTCAACTTCCCATAATAATTTAGTTTTTTTTTTACTCTAACATTATTTTCAATTAAAAATAATTTAAGATTTCAATATCAAATTTCAAAATACCATATGTTAAAAGAACATAATTTATATTGTAAAGTACATATAGTTAATACCTAAATAACACACTAATTAAACTCAAAGAATATACGATAATAAAAGTAATTTAAATATGACATATGATAATAAAAAATAGAATTTGGGAGTCACTACGACCTTAAAGAACATACACGCCAAATTCAAAGAACATACTTTGTATTATTAAACCCAAAAAAAATATATGTTTATCAACATATGTTAAATAACATAAGTTATAATTTAAAGAACATATAATTTTACTCAAAGAACACACTGATCACACTCAAAAAACATATTAAAGGTATGTTCTTTGTCAAACAAAAGTATGTTCTTTATCAAACACTATATGTTCTTTCCGCCTTTTTTTGTTTACCCGGGTGCACCATGAGCATGATGCACCCGGGTGTATTATCTAATTTTCATAATACATAGTACTACTATGTAATTTTAAGAGGCAACATGAAGTCCTATCGAACAAAAACATTTCACAGATAAACCCAATCCAAATAAGTTCTAATCTAAACATGGTACTTTAGTTAAGTTAGTAAAGTATTTGAGAGTGGTAGCGTAATTTTGAGAAATGAAGTAAGCACGGATACTATATCAGAAAATTTACAACATGTTTGTATGGTGGAAATTGTAGTCGAATATGGAAATCTGTACTTATTTATAAAAATCTCAAAGAATTCTCCATCAATTTGTTACCCACAAGCCAAGGGCTAGGGGGCAAGTAATTTCTTTTTTTTTGAAGGGAGAGGGGGAAAGTAATTGGGAAGAAAGAAATTTTAAAAAAATAAAATTAAAAGACAAAATTACCATTACTAAGAAAGGGAGAGAAAGAAGTAGGAGAAATATTCATAAGGGCATATGTGTAAATTCATTAATTAATTAAAACATACATTCATCACACAAACAAACAAAAATGAAATTAAAAAAGGGAAAAAAAGAACTACATGCCTCTTCTTGCGGTAACTGCAAGCGTATGGGCTTCATAAACTCTACTCCTACTTTTCTAATTTCGAAACTCTTGAACGTTTGAGAATGTTGCTCTAATTCCTTCATAATTTGCTTGATCTATTAGAGCCGCTTTAGCTTCAGCTTGACATGCCGAGGAAGCGAAAACAGGGCTTTTTCCCCTATCAATTACAACACCATTATCTCCTGGCTATGTTGGGGCTAAACAATTTCAAATTAAGCTCACCTTCCACCTGCCATTATCATCAAGTAGATCACTCACACTCCACTCTGATAGCACTACCATCTAATCTTGGCAGTTGTGAATCAATATGTAAGTTCAATAAAAACGTCTCTGTGTCATGTAGACCACAATGATAAGGGGATTCGAACACTCAACCTTTAATAAGAAAGATAATTACTTAAGCATCTAAGCCAATTATAAACTATATTATAAACATGAAAATAAATGTATATAATTGATAATCACACGGTCTAATTAAAGTAGCAACCGGTGTAATGTCCGGGCCACACACTAATTTATATTCTATACGGAGTATTTTATACCAGCTGATATTAAACTATTGTTTATGTTCTTAATGCTTGTCTTGCTCTTATTTTTTTTTTTTAATGTTATTCAGTATGTGTAGATGTAGATTACATCCATCAAAGTATGAATCTAAGATACATCTATCTATTTTTTTGATTTTTTTGGTGTTGGTAGAGAGTTGTGGAGGGCAATGAAGGGTACAAAATTTATATTTATGGGCAGTAAAATATGGTCAAACTTAGTATAAAAATAATGTAAAAAATCGAAAGTATAAATTGCTCATTACTTTTATACTAAGAATGTTGCACAAATTAAAAAATAATATGAACAAAGTCCCTAAATGATCACACAAATCCCATATCAGTATATCCACACATCAAATTCGCACCCAACAAAAAGTTGCACACAAATTAATCAATAATAGTTGGGAAGAAAAATAAATAAATCCAATCAACATACAAACCGAAATGAATAACAAATTAGGCAAGAAGTAAGATCAATCCTACCTTTAACAAACCACGAACACATGGTTCAGGATCATACAATAATTTCCGGGGTTGGGGAGAGCAAAAAACAAAAGCCCTAAAACTACCTTAAAATCTTCAACCAATCTTTGTTCCTCCCAAGTCAAACAAATAAAGAGTTAGCTTAGTTACATTTTAGCAACAAATTGGACATTGTATTAGTCCATTTTCATTGCATTCTCCACACTTAACCATATTTTTGTTATTCTCATCCAAAACCTTACAACTTCCATTACAATCCATACACATTACAAACCTTATTCCACCACACCCTTGACACCCAATTGAAGCTGTTGCAATCCCTTCTAACAACCCTTCTAGTTTCCCTTCTTCATCCAACCTTACAACTTCTTCGGCGCCTCCGATTATCCTCCCTTTAACAAACACGATTGGCACTTTTACTCCCTTTGTACCCATCAACTTCCTTAACTCTTCCTTAAACCCGGAATCCATCGAAACATCCCTTTCTATCACTCGAATGTTGTACGATTCCACTACTGATCTTACCACATTGCAATCCTCAAACGTCTTCCTGATCCCTCTCAGTGTTGTTGTATATATGACCACGCAATCCTCGCCTCCAGGTGGGCATTTCTCCGGATATCCCTCGAATAAAGTCGAAGAAGAGTTATGGTTATTCCTCGAAAAGTACTTACTCTTTGAAACTGATTTAACTTCTTTAGAACATACCATTTCTTTAATTTGCTCTTCTTTTTCCATTGACAACTCCTTCTCAAGTGAATCAATTAACTCTGGATCGAACAACGGGCTTAAGCTTTTCCTCCTCGATGATGAAACCCCTGAATTACTCCTCCTTGGACTGTCCATTGAACTAGCCTTTCGAATTTTATTAGTCGAATTCGATGAAAATTTCCATGATTTCAACCCACCTGATCTTGTAGTATAACATTGCTGTTTTTTAGTGTTATCAATTCCTCTGTTTTCTTTACCTCCTAATTTATTATTACCCTCTTTTGGTGAACTTGATTGACTTGTTACCAATCGCTTGAAGGGGCTTCTCTCGCCTCGAAACCCCGGCTTCGAGGCGAGTCCTTCATCTTCACCTTCACCTTCAAGATCTTCCATTAATTCCCAAGTGTTAATCACCTCTAATTCTTCCTGTGATTGCAATCTTTTTGACCCAAAGACTCCAACTTTAGTACCAATTTCTTCCTTTTTCTGCTCTGATTTGCCTTCATTGGTGTTCTCTTTCTTCTTAATTGATTGGAAATTAGAAGAAGAGGGAAAAACAACATGGGTTTTGTTCAAATTTTGATTTTGGTCAAGTTTAAGAACACCAAGTGTGCTAGATTTAAGGGAAACAACATGATTTGGCAAATCTCCACTCCCAAACAAGAGTTCTTGTTTAAGATTTTTCTTCAATAATTTGGATGATACACAACCCATTGATTGAAAAAATTAAAAATTGAAAATTTGATTGGGGTTTTTTTCTTAATTTTTCTAAGTAATTTTCATTTGGGTTCAGTTTAATTGAGAAGTTTATTGAAGGGGGTGAACAGGTGGTGGAAGATAATAATGAATTGAAGGATGTTTCAGAATTAAAATAATTTTGAATGTTAGGGCGTTTTTTTAACCGTTATCTCCCTGTCTAGAACGGGACCCCCAACGGTCGGAAAAAGAAATTCGAATAAGATCTGTTGTCTGTTGCATTGGTGTGAGTTCTGGTTTATTTAGTGGATACTGGATATACCAGTACTTCACTTTTCTCACTCCTAGCTAATCCTAGGCACCGTGCCGTGCCGGGCCGCCGCGGGCCGTGCCTGGCGGGCCACGGGCTGGTTCGTGCCGTGCCGGTCGTGCCGGCGGGCCCAGGATTTCGTGCCGTGCCGTGCCGGCCATTTTCACAGGCCAGCCCACGGCACGGCCCTCGTGCCTGGCGGGCTCGTGCCGTGCCGGCCACGTGCCGGCCTGCGGGCTGGCCTGCGCGGGCTGGTGCAGTTTTCATTTTTTTTTTTTTTTTTTTTTTTTTTTTTTTTTTTTTTTTAATGACAACATTATAAATTAATAAGTTTATAATGTATATAAGTTATAAAATTATAATTATAAGTTTTATAAGGTAACTTATAAGTTTATAACTTATAAGTTATAAGTTATTAAGTTATGAATTTTATAATTATAAGTTGAATATTTATGTTTTATAATTTGTATATTCAATATTTATATTTATATATTTACTTTATACTATTACTTTAAAATTTAATGTTTATGATTTATTAGTAATTGGTATAATTTTATTTTTTTTTTAATATGAATTTACAAATTGTAACAAAACGGGGAAAAAAGGCAAATTGGACTTTGGATGTGAATAATGCGTACTTTATATTATTATTACTTGAGTTGAGAAAATTGTACAATGATAACAATGATAAAAATCATACAATGATGGTATTAAACAAAAATTGGAAAATGATAAAATTGATATTTTTAAAATCGTACAATATACAATAATTGTCTATTCTTCTTCTCCTTCTTCTTGCTCGTCTTCGTCTTTGTCTTCGTCTTCGTCTTCGCCTTCAAGGTCATCGGCTAGTTGCATAGATTGGGAACTAGCCGAACCCGAACCGGAAGCGGAGGTTCCTTCTTCGTTGTCGTTGTGGTCGTAAGAACGGTCTTGTGAGCGATTTTCCGCATCCAACCAATCTTTGAAACACACGCACATTTCTAGTGTTTCGGGTTTTAGACTTGTTCTTCTATCGTCTAAAACCCTTCCGGATGCGCTGAAAGCTCGTTCGGAGGCGACGGAGGAAACTTGGATAGCAAGAATGTCTCGTGCCATTGCCGCCAAAGTTGGATGCTTCGAGCTTTGTTGTTTCCACCATGCAAGGAGGTCGAGGCTGTTTATCTCATCGTCGTCCATGCCTTTGGTGAAGTCGTAACTCAGGTACATCTGCAACTCCGAGACGTCGCTTTGCGTTCTCCTGATTGATGAATCACCTGAAAACCTTGAAATCAAGTTAGTAGCTTGTGAAAATAAATGTTTGGCCTTCTTACTTACGTTTTTGGATGGTTGGGAAGGCCCTGAGCGAGGAACGGTGCCATATTTGGCTTCATAGACTCTATATAAAGCAAAAACTGATCCTTCACATTAGTCTTATAGTTTTCTACATCATCGTCAAGAAACATGCATTGAAAGTAAATGTCAACTAACATAAATGTGTTTTCATACTTTTGCCTAGGATCTAATATGGAAGCAAAAATATAAATCAAAGGAATCTCACTATAATATTTACGCCACTTTTTTTCCATTGCTGGAAGATACTGATCATAATCACTTTGATCGCGATGATCAGCGAAAAGTTGGGCGAGTAAGCATGCATTAGAAAGAAAGTTTTGAGCACAAGGATTGTAAACAGTAGAAAAACAATACGTCATGTTATATAATAACTGTAAAAATTGCATATATCTTTCACAGTTATTCCAATCATCATCATACAAAGCATTTTGTGGAAATTTTTGGTTGTAAAATAATGTTAACGGGCCCTTGTACTCAATTGCCTTTGTTAACATGTCATAGGTGGAATTCCACCTAGTTGGGCAATCGGTTCTAATTTTTATTACCCTTATCTTTTGTTGTTTTAGAAAACTCTTCCATTCTTGGTATCTCATGTTAGAGCTATTAATAGACATAATAGCATCTCTGATTTTGCTGTAGTATGGGCCAATTGCCCGAACTCCATCCTGTACACATAAGTTAAGTACATGGCAAACACATCTAGTATGAAGAGCTTCACCGTCTAATAGTACATCGGTTAAGTTTTGTTTGATAAGATTAGCTGTGTATGTCATAGAGGTTGCATTATCAAAAGTCATAGACATCATTTTATCTCGAAGGTTGTATTCGTCTATTGCTTGCATTAAATGGTGAGCAATGTTAATGCCGGTGTGTGGGTATTCCAGCATTTTGAAATGTATTATTCTTTTTTGTAACATCCATTGATCATCTACCCAATGGCAAGTCACACATAAATAGTGATATTTATAACCACTATCCCAAGAATCGGCTGTTAAAGATACTCTACAGTTAAGGTTACTCAATTCGGCTTGTAACCGGACTTTGTACTCTAGGAAATTTTTCATTGCGGCGGAACGAACGGTTTTCCTAGAGATTCTTTTATTTTGGGGTTGTAGTGCTTTGTTAATGTAGGTGTTGAATGCGTCACTTTCCGAGAAAAGAAAAGGTTGTTCGGCGTGTACTATCATTTTTCCTAGTTCATCCCTATCCCTCTCATAGTTGTATGTAAAGCCGTATGGATGGAATTGGGAAATTTTGGGCTGGGTTGGATCACTAGCTGGTTTTGCACAAGCTTTCATGTGTCTAGATAAGTGTCCCGTCCCGTTTTTGGTAACTGCCGTGAATACACTATTACATGTTTTACATTTTGCCCATTGTTCACCATCTTTACTTAGGACAAAATAACGCCATACCTCACTCCTTCGGTTTTTCAAAAGTAGCATCTCAGTTTCGGCTAACCATTCATGATGTGTGTGATGGTTAGTAGGGGGACTAGTGGGAGTGGCAGTAGAAGGGGTAGAACCGGAGGGAATTCAGGTACTTTCTTGGCTACCTTGGCTAGAACAATAGTTTTGTTGATTACCGATATAATTAGGTGGAAATTGGTATGGTGGTAGTGGAAATTGGTTTAGTGGTGGTGCTGGAAATCCCGACGTATTATATGGCTCATAGCCCGGGGGGAAGTAAATGGGGTCATTGGTTTGACTCGTAATTTGGGGGCTCGTTGTATTTGGTGGTTCCCTAGAACTACTACTACGGATAAGTCGGCCTTTCCCCCTAGACCTAGATGATGGGTTGTTCGATGCCATAATTAACAATTAATTTTTTAATAAAAAGTGGTTAACTATAATAATAATAATTAATAACAACAATTTTAACAATAAAAATATCAATAATAATAATTAATAACAACAACTATAACAATAACAATAACAACAAAAATAAATAATAACAACAATTGTAACAATAATAATAATTAATAACAACAATTATAACAACAACAATAACAATTAACAACAATAATAATTAAACAAGATTATTCTAATAATAACAATAAAACAATAATAAATTTAAGATTAGTTTAGATCTTACAACCGTGCTTCAACGCTCCACTAATTACGATTACGAACTTTTTAATTTTTTCCGATATTAGGAAAATAATTAGAGAATTTAAGAGAATAATTAGAGAATTTAAGAAAATAAGGATTATTAGAGATTTAGAGAATATAAGAGATAAGAAGAAGAGATTGTGATTTTGTGATTTGGGAATGAAATAGAGGTGAGTATTTATAGAATTTTTGGCAAAAAACTAGCCGTTTATAGCCGTTAGCCCGCGGGCCGTGCCTGCGGGCCAGCACGGCGGGCCACGCCCGTGCTCGTGCCGGCCCGTGCCTGCGAATTCTCCACCATGTCCGTGGCACGGCCCGTGGCACGGAAGTCGAACTTCGTGCCGTGCCGTGCTTGACTTCGGGCCGTGCCGGGCTGCGCCGAACGGCGGGCCGTGCCGGGCGGCACGCGGGCCAACCCGGCCCGTGCCCAGGTTTACTCCTAGCACTATTTTATTAAGTTTAATATTCAATGACTCGAGGATTCACTTTGTTGTCGAAACTGATTTGTATCCGATAATTTGTGTTGAAGTATTTCAAACTATATTCAAAATATATATGAATATGACTCGTATTAGATTTTACCTAAAATTTTACGGAGTACTCAACTTAAATCGAGCATATAGTTTTAAAAAAACAAATTCTACTAAAAATTAATGTACTTGTTAATTAAAAATTCATTGATCAGATTGTGTAATTACTAATTAGATACTAATTGATTTATTTATTTATTTTTTTTGTTGAAAAGATACTAATTGAATTTAGATATGAATATGGCCTCAAACACATAAACCTAAATCCACAAACACATTAATTAGATGACTCATCACCCAAATATGACTACCAATTGGATGTTGGTGTAGTGGTGATTGAGACTACACTTGATAGGGAGGACCTGTATTTGATCCCCCACAACAACAATCGGGATGTGACTGGAATTGATCCCCAAATCCAGATTAGCCCGAATCGTTTATAACACAAAAAAAAAAAAAATCACCCAAATATGGCTTGTTTGATCGAAACAACTCAATTATCTATCACCCAATCACCCATTAAAGCTCTAGTGTAATCCAAGGTAAGTATTGTTTTTTAAGCCTTTGTCAAAAAATAAAAATTGTTTATTTTGCTATCTTAAGTTCGGGGGGGGGGGGAGTAAATCATGCCCCAAAAACAATCTATATTATATATTTTCAAATTTTATATGGCGAATCTAATTTTGCACAAATATTTATTGCAAATTGTAGACACCCATTTGTGTCTCCCCAAAACCAAACCCAGTGATGAGTACCTTTCACGTCGAATCATAATCGAATGAAACGAAAGTGTGGAAAGTCTAGCGTTGCGGAAAATTTTTATTTCTTTTCTCTTCTCTCTGTTTTTGAAAACTTTATTTTAGGAAAACAGCCAATCCAGTTTGGTTGGTCCATGATATAGGTCCAATAGTAGTGTAGTTGGATGGGGCTTACAAAGACCTTTCCAACGATATATTATAAGCCCAATTCCGATGAATATTGAGGAAATTATGGCCAATTTACCAAACTGGGTCCGGTTTGAGCTTTATATACGGCCCAATGATCTAGGGGAGGGCCT